TATGTCATTTCTATTAAAAGGTAAACATAGATTCTATATATTCCAGATAAACATATTCTTCTAATGCCTTAGAAGAATAAAAATAAAATCTGCTGCGAAGCAGTCACAAATATACTAGCTATGACTCCAGCTCCTCACACTGGGCTACCGAAGGGAAGGTCTTGGCTTCGTCATTACCTGGCAGGTGAGTGAGCAGCAGCATTTGTTCTAATGTGGTCATTAGCCAAGCTCCTGGCAGAGCCCCTAATTCTGTGATGCTCTAGGGGAGAGGTGTGAACACAGTGGCTCTTGATGGGCTTTTGGGTAGGGACAAGTTACCAGAATGACCAAGCCATGATCAGACACTATAGACTCTCAGCCCATCTGCCTGGGAAGAAGAGGAGCTGGGGGTGGGCCTTTCCTAGGTAGCCAAACCCCCATCAATTTTCCTGAGTGGTAGACCCTCAGAGTTCTGGGTTGCTGAGCACAGGGATGTGGAAGGGGGATGGTACTCTGAGCTGCATGCAACCCCCATCACTGTATCCCAGCAGCCCACATCTTACCTGTGCATTTGGCTCATCTGGACGTGGGTACCTTTTAATAACATGGAAAGGCAGCTAAACTATGCCCTTGAGTTCTCCTAAATAATGATTAGACTTTTTTTTTTTTTGGTTTTTCAAGACAGGGTTTCTCTGTGTAGCTTTGCGCCTTTCCTGGAACTCACTTGTTAGCACAGGCTGGCCTCGAACTCACAGAGATCCGCCTGGCTCTGCCTCCTGAGTGCTGGGATTAAAGGCGTGCGCCACCACCGCCTGGCAAATGATTAGACTTTAAAAGGGCCTTACAGAACCTCTATTTTGTAGTTAAATCTGACAAAGTTGTGGGTAAGTTGGGGTTACCACTTTTTTTCCCCAAGGGATAGGATATATCTATAAGTCTGAGCCCTTCGAAGTCTGCCCTACTTTGGCAGTTAGTTTCAGGAATAAGTTAAATTAATACAACACCCAGCAGATGTTGGGAAATCAGTAGTTGTGGAAAAGCTCTAAGAAATATCATGTGAGTACACAGAAGAAACTGTTTGCTGCTTCCACAAGCAGGTAAGGACTTACTAGGCAGCCACTAAGAAAAGGCAGCTGTGGGCTTGGTTTTAAAAATAATCTCATGAGAATTCAAGATAAAGATTTTAAATAGAACCAAAGTAAAAGTACTATATATCAAAACATACAGCTGGCTGTTATAATTTTGATTATGACAAAGTTCAGGTCATCATATAATGGGCAAGAATATAGAGAACCAAGAAACCTGGTGGTGTAAACTCATAACACCAGCACTAGGGAGGCTGAGATGGGAGGACCATGCATTCAAGGCCAGCACGGACAGTGTAGCAAAGCCCCATCTCAACATAATTAAAACAGCAACAACAAACAAACAAACAAACAACAACAACAAAAACCCAAGGAAATCAATACCCACAGGCATCTACTGACTGACTTAAATAGCCACCACAGTTTCCAAGAAACTCTGACATGAACGAGTCCCAAAGACATGATACAAAAAAAGCAGTTGGTCTCCAGGAGATGAACTCTGTGATGACATTCACACAACGTTCATGAAATAGCCAAGTTCATGCAGACAGAAGGCAGAGTTGTGGCTTTTAGGAAATGAGGCAGATTAAGTGGGACCTAGTGTGGATGATGAGAAGTTCCAGGCTTGCAAGATGAAAAGTGATGGGACTAGAGGGTCATAATGGCTTCACATGACATGAATGAGCTGACACCAGTGAACTGTGTACTTAAAAATGGTTATGATGGTCATTTTTAAGTTATTTTTACCAAGGTATAAGCACATCTAAATGTTTTTGAAAGAAAAAGAAACCAAAATATTAAAAAAAAAAAACAAGAACAGCAAACAAAGTAGCCACAAAGTCATGAGGAGCAAAAAAGTAAATTTAGGAGGGTCAGAAAGATGGCTTGGTCAGTAAAAAGCTGGTCACACAAGCATGGGAACCAAACCTTTATCTCCAGAGCTGGCTGCACCTGAAATTCCAGAGTTGGCAGGTGGACACACATTCCTGGGGCAGTCTAGGTTAACTGGTAAACTTCAGTTTCCATGTTAGATATCTCAAAAAGTAAAGCTAAGAGTGATTGAGGAAGTTACCCACCATCAACCTTGGACTCCACATTCTTGGTCATACACATGGGGACACACACTTCAAACTAAATTCAAGAAAGACACATGATCTTAAGTAATAAAGAGAGAGGCAAGAAATGGTGAAGACCTGGGCAGAACTGTACTGTTTCATATTCTTATGACTCCCAAAGTACACTATATTGACAAGGTGGGGTGGGCACAGTCTCATAGAGTCTGAACTTGCAGATAGCCAGGACTTTGGGGCTCCTTTTCCAACTCATGAGGTACTATATCAGAAGGCCAAAAAGTTGAAAAAGGTAATTAACAATGGGGCCACAGTGGTAGGTCAGGAGAGGACCGGGAAGCAGGGATGCATTTGAATATGAAAGAACAAGAGAATGTAAGATCCTCGAGGAAGGATTATATCTTGAGACTTGTAGAACCCCACCCTAGACATGCTGTGGTGGAAGTGTCTGAAGATCTACCTTCCTGCTGTTCTTGTGATGGGATGGGCACCTGGTACATTCCCATTGTCTTGCTGGTTTGCTTCGGTGGCTCCCAGCATTCAGTGATGGCTGGAATTCATGTCTTGGACCCTTGAATAGGGAACAGGGATGAAGAAGATTGCACCTCCAGCAATTGTGTGACTTGCACAGCCCTGTTGTAGTGATGGTTGTTTTGTTGTTGTTGTTTTGGTCAACTTGACAAAAGCTAGCTTCAGCTGTGAGGAGGGAACTCCATTGGGAGAGTGCTTTTATCAAATCAAATTGGCCTCCAGATAATTCTGTGGGGCATTGTCTTGACAAATGACTGATGTGGGATGGCCCCATCCAGTGTTGGTGATACCACCCCTGGGCAGGAGGTCCTGAGTGGTATAAAAAGCAGGCTGGGCCAGCCATGGTAGCAAGTCATTAAGCTGCATTCCTCTCTTCTGCTTCAGATCCCAGTTCCTGCACTGACCTCTTTGATGGACTAGGGTGTGGAAGTGCAAACCAAATAAACCCTGTCCTCCCTGATAAACACCAGGATAAAAAGCAAAGTAGGATACCTGTCTTCTGCTGCAACTAGCAAGCACTGGCTTATCCCAGGGGCACATAGGACCCAGCAGCCAGGTCCCCAGAGTAATGTCTAAGGATCTGTGTCCAAATGTGTGTGTGTGTGTGTGTGTGTGTGTGTGTGTGTGTCCGTCCATTAAGCACAAGAGAAGAAATACGCCCAATTAAAAGTGAAAAAAGTCACAAATACCAAGAAAGTCAGAGACCCAAAAGCTTATGTTGAAAACTATGCAACTCCATATAAAAATTGATATGATTAATTTTAAAATAAAATATGCAACTAAAATCTTCTGTGGTGATATATGCCTATGATCCAGCACACAGAAGCTGAAACAGGAGACTTCTGAGTTCCAGACTAGCTTGGGATACAGAAAGAGCTCTTGTCTAGAAAACCCAGACATAGACAAACAGACCGACAGAGACAGAGACAGAGACAGACAGACAGACAGACAGACAGACACACACACACACACACAGAGAGAGAAAGAATTCCTGTCTAGAAAACACAGACACAGACATACAGACACACACACAAAAGAAAACCCACACATACAACTAAAATGGACACCAAATGTTCTGGAAGAGCTAATCTATTCGATGTGAGAAATCGGAAACATGGGCAGCTCTCAGGCAGTTCTTGCAAACTTAAGTAGGAAATGACTCTAAAACCAATTAGAATCTCCCCCAGTGACTTCAGGACTATTTTCAGGACTTCCCATGCATACAAAAGCATGAGAATGCTCAAGTCCTCCCATGAAGTGGTGTGATATTTGGATATGACCCCACCACACCCTCACATTTATACTGTAACATCTGTAGGTTATTTATAATGTGAATGATATGTACTTGCTATATTGCATTAACAAAGGAAAAACAAGAAGGCTGCATATGTTCAGTAAAGATGTGACTTTTGAATATTTTTCATCCACAGTTGATTGAATCCAATGGTACACAAAAACAAACTATAAATGAATTAATCTTAATTATGAACATTGACAGCCAAAATCATTAGACAATGTAGCCATCACCTCAGGAATATATTAAAATATCACCTTAATTATTTTGTTAATGAAACCTTCTGCTGGATAGATTGAAATTTCTGGTCCTTTCTATGGATACTGGGAGGGCTTTGACAGAAAGAGACTATCCCAATTTTTTCCAGAGAGCAGTAATAGTTGAGAGAATACATGGATAATTTTTATTATGATGAAGAAAATACATGTCTTCATACAAGTAAAACTGTGAATCAATAAAATATCCATCAACGTTAAGAACAAGATAAGTATGCAAACAAGCCAATTATTGTTCTCAAGTGCAACTGGATAGAAAAGAAAACAAAGATAGTGGGAAGGATGAGTTAAAAGAAAACCTTAGAAACAAAATGATCACAATTATGGTGACTAATTAACATTAACATACACACTCCAACAACTTTCCTACACATTCAGCTAGAAAACAAAATTAATGCCACCAGACTGAAGATGGTAACCAACTGATAAGTTACAAAGAAATGAACAGCAAGAAACTGGTAGGACTTTTCTCAACAGTCCTACTGACTACACAAAGTTAGATCTGAATACAAGCTGACATTGTGGAGTTCCCAAACAGGAAGACCTGGTGTGTGAATCCACTGTGACCCCAATTAGATGCTTTTACGACACAGAGAATAAGAGGGAGGGAGCAGAAGAGAGTATCCACATGAAAATATTAATACTAATAGGAATAAAGCTTTGGAAATCAACAGCATCGAGGCAGATTAATCAACAAAACAGAACAGCACTTCAAGAAAGTCAATTTACACAGAAGGGGACAATCTGAACAGAGTGAAGAGTCTCATTGTATTACAGAAATGCTTTATTATATGCCTGGTGTACCAGTGACCACCCTTGGAGAAGAACAACTAGGTTTAGTTATAAAGGTGAACAAATGAAAATATTGTTTAGAAAGAAACTATGAGTCAATTTATTTGTAAACTTAACATGGGGAAGACCTCCTGGAGGGCAGTCTTATGTTCTACAAAAGAAAACATGAATAAACTAGCAACATAGAGTTTTAAACTTTCTATATGTCAATAAATATGCAATCAATAAACAGCATCATAAACAAATGCCAAATAAAAATTAAAAGAATTAAAAAACTGAAATTTGTATAAAAGATAGAAATATAAAATTGAAATTACCAAAATATATTTGAAAAATTCAACCTTGCTCATGGTAAAATGAACTAAAATCAGAATATTGTTGCCTTATCATTTTTACCAGTCAGATTGGGAAGGGAAAAACTAAATATGAAAATATTTAACACCAGAAAGCTGACAGTCTGGCCCCTGAACTGTCCTCTGGGTGGGGCTATCCAGTTCACAGAGGACCATCTAGAAATATTTATCAAAAGTCTAAATGCACATAGTCTTACATCCAGTAGTTCCATTTCTAAACTGGCATTTATACCAAGATACAGTCACAAAAAAATATGGCAAAGTATGCACTAAAATGCTAACTACAGACTTGTGTATAAAAATAAAACCTGGAAATAGTGTAGCTACGTGCTCACCAGTAAAAGGCTAAGCCAACAAATTGTAAGCCACCAATGGAGTGGAACACTAAGCAGCTAGTAAGAGGAATGAGGTAGACCTTTAGATGTCATTACGGAAAACTCTCTAGGACAAAACACTAGATGCAAAGCACCTTTCAAGCATGAGTTCAAGGAAAGCAACAACGTCCCTCCAAGTTCTCCTCCCTCTCTTGTCCCCATCTTTCCTTTCTTCTTCTCTAAAACTGTTCCTAAGAGGAAATGGGAGCAAGGGGGAGACAATTTTGAACCATATACATCTTCTAACTATGAGCACAGCTAGGCTTTACCATTATTTTTATAATGGCAATAATTACTCAGATAGTCAAAGCAAAGACTAGGATTCAATTTTTAACTAACAGTAAGACACAAAGCCTGGTCTTTAGGTATCAAAGCACACCTATTTGTTTCCAGTTACTTTAATAAATAAAATAACACCAGCAAAAAAAAAATATTGTGCATGATTTGTTGATACTGGTTGTAAAAGATGCATGCTGGGAATGGCCTGCTCCAGATGGTGAGTGCTAAAATCAATGAAGTCTCCAGATTTGACCAAGTCACTTTATACTATGTTCTTTCTTCAGGCACGCACGCGCACGCGCGCGAACACACACACACACACACACACACACACACACACACACACACACACAGGCTACCACCAAGCCTTCATCTTCCTGCAGTAAAATTAGTGGCTAGGAAAAAGTGGGTTTTGTTGTTGTTGTTCTAGTTCTGAGAAATCTAATCTTCCCGCATGATTCCATCTCTGAAGTCAGAAGATTAAATTTTTGGGGCACCTCAGAAACATGGTATAGTTTTAAGCTTCAAGAAAATGGACAACATAACTGAACAGGGTTTTTCTTAGTGAAGAATCCTCAGACCCCATTAACAAATAAGACGTGAAATGCAAACAGACCAGTATGAGCTACACAGCTAGACCTTAACTCAGAAGAGAAAAACATACAAACAACACCCGATCATCTATCTCCAGTGAATCCATGCACTGACCCTGAGTCAGCTTTGCACCTGAAGCCATGGGAGGGTAGTTCCCCGGAAGCCAAATCCTGATGCCATGAGCTCTGTATCTAAATGAGTCACCAGCAACATCACCTCTCTCCAGCTCCTGCCACACAGTAGCCCAGAGGGGATTCAACTGCTTCTCTCTAGTTCCAACATGGGGGAAAACCACGGAATATGTTCACTTGGTGATATGCAGTTATACAGATGCACAAACTTCCAAGACCAGTGAAGTCTGACTTGCGGAGCAACTAAGACACTCTTTGTGGTGGGTAGCTGTTCCAGCTTTGACCTTGAAACACTGTCCCTAGAGTGACAGCAGGTAACTGCCATACCTGCCTGTGAACTGCCCCTGGGGTGTGGCTGAGAGGGAGACCCTTAAGACTCGAGGTGCATATGTGCTTGCCCCTTCTGGATACCTCGTGGTCCTGGAAGCTGTATGGGAGACCAAGACAGAGTTTCTCCACTGGATGGTACCTCATCTCTCCCGGATCCTGTAACCAACCCCTGTTGGCTGTTAAGTTACCCCAGAAATAAATCTCTCTTGATTACCAGGTAAATTATGTGGAACTGCCTCATTAATTACAGTTATAACTCTTATCTTAAAAACACACATCAAATGGTTTAGCGAAGCATCAGCTACTCCCTTGTTAACACTCAGAACTCTGTTTGCCCTTCAGCTTCTGCACAGTAAAACAGACTCAGGTAATCCCTCAGGACATGGGCACAGCATGAAGCTTGATATCTACCGGGACCACAGCCTCCAAAAGCTTTTGGCTAGGGCTAGTCCTAGTTTAGAACTGACACAATCTGTGTGCTAATTTCATGGACAGTACAGAGGTACAGGAACCAGCTTGCTGAAAACATCATTTAGAAGGCCAACTTTCTCTGTGGTAAAAAGTTGGTCATTAATAAAGACAAAAAGGTAAGTTAAATCACACACACACAAAAAAAACCTGCAGAGAATTGAATTTATGTTGCCTTCCTTTCTCAAAGAAGTTGTTGAAATGGACCCAGTGAGTGCTGCTCAGCATTGGCTTCACCCTGGGTCTGTGCATGGCACAGGCAGACAGTAAACTCTTATTTGAGCCCGTAACAAGGGGCATGCAGGCATGCAACACCAACTGGACAGGTCTCTACCGGCCAACAACAGCCACTGAGATATACCCTGCAGGGCTGTCCAGAGGGGGCAAATGACCACTTAGTACCCCTGCTGAAGACAAGAATATGCCAATGGTATTTGTGAGAAGAAAAAACCAGAAGGGTGCTGGGATCTTTTTAGTTAAAGTAACCAGGAAACTAAGTCTCAAGACTGACAGCTACGTGGATACTTCAGAGTTGTTATATGGGGTTAGGACCCCAAGTCTTACCCTCCAGATACTTTCCCTATCAGTACATTTCCTATGTGGTGATATTACGCGAAGTCTTTGGACACAGCCTCCACAAAGTTTGGGGCTGACATAAGGATGCCAATGGTGCAGATGATGGTAAAGACCGAAAAGGCCATGAGGCACAAGCGGTCCACCACGCAGGCGGCAAACTTCCACTCACTGCAGACCACTTCACTCTCATCCTGGCAGCGGAAGCGGTTGGCGATGTAGCGGACCTCCTCCAGGATCTTGGCCAGGTCGGGGTCCCCATCAGAAGGGTGTGCACCATGCAGGAGATGCTCATCGTGTGTTGGGGAGCAGGCCAAACGACCACACACCACCCCAGAGTCCGGAGTTGGGGCACAGTGCATGCCCTCCAGGCCTCGGAAGCCGATGTAGAGCAGGTTGCCATTGCTGGTGGGTGGCCCGGCACCTGCGCTCAGCTCCACACTGGCCAGGCTGCAGCGTCGAGCCTTGTGCTGACAGGCTGGCCGCACCTTGTCCTCCCCGGGCCTCTTCATGCGCAGGAACCAGGCACACCAGTTCAGAAGAATGATCCTGGTCTGCAAAGACAGCAACAGGATGTCAAGAGCTGCCCAGAGTTGTGTAGGAGCTGAGCCTCACAGCAATGTGACCACACAGTGGAAGCCTGCTTTACGGATCTTGGGGAGATTGGGCTTCTCTGTCTTCTCAGCGAATGTATACAGCAAATCAGTGAGGAAACCTTGCAAGGATGGAGTCAAATGTGAGGTGAGAATATGACCTATGTACGTTTAGCAATGTGGGAACAAACAGAAGTTCCCCTGGGATGGACATATTACACCCCCTATGAGAGGAAAAAGGTAGCTAGCTCCCCAAGAATGCCTGAGATGTGTATAGCAGGGAAAATCATTTTCTTTTCTGAACTTGCCTTTTTCACTCCCAGGGACTCTAATTCCCTGGCTCCAATACACACTAGGAGGTGCCTGTAAGGTCACTACAAACTAAGCGAGGCTCTGTAATACATCAGACACAGCGTGGACTCCCAGCTTGGAGCACCTTCAGGTTGTGACTTCAGATAACCACGTTTGTGAGACTCCATATCTTTGCAAAGTGGGTTTTAAAAACTGTGCCAAAATTATCAAGAGAATCAATGAGAAACAGAACATGAGGGTGATAGTCTCTAATCTGTCCCCAGGAGTTGAGAGGATGTGCCTGAGCTTCCGTGGATGCCAAACTGTGAAGGCAAAGGCATGCGATAATCTGTTTTAACCTCTGTAAATGGGCTGCTGGGCCTCAGAGCCCTATTGAAAAAACAAAAAACAGCTAAGAAGTTAATATGGAAGAAAGCATAGGCCCTTCTAACCCAGCTCATTAGGCTCTGCTGATGAGCAAGTAAGACCAGGTTTGGGGCAGTATATGGAGAGGCAGAGACAGGTGTTAGCACACGTCTATGACCAGTCCAGGCCATGGAGGCACTCTGACAGCACCGCCCCCTGCTGGTGTGCACATATGAGTGCACGAGTGGGTGGGTATGAGGGATGCCTTAAAAACAAACAAACAAACAAAAACCCTTTTTATAAGTTACGTTTAAAAGGCTGGGGTCGCAGTTGGTTATTTGAGTTTATCAACCTGGCCCTTCGAGTTTTATAAATGGGCAATGTTAGAGGTTTCGTGTTTTCAGACAGCTGGACAAAGAAGAAGATTCTTGAAGACAGTCCCAGCATGTAAACAGTGGGCCTTTTCCTAAAACACCTACATGCACACCTCATGTTCATCTTGAGTTCTGATCACAGGAGAACCTCCCCAGCCTCCCATCAGCAGGGGAGGTTGTAAGTCGTGAAGTGCACGTCTGTAGTGCTTGCTTTTTTGAGAGCCATTTTCATGTCATCTTATCAAAAACGCAAAAATGAGGTCTGTAGACAGTGAGAAGCACAAGAAATGTCGAGCTGAGGTTCCCCACAGCTGGGAAGCCTTTCCCAGCCTTATCTTCTAGTGTGGCAGACTGCATCAGGGAAAGTCTTGGCTGTAAGGACCTTTCAAAATTAGGGAAAAGCAGAGGACAGCAGCTACCTTCTCATGAGGCTGAACACAGAGCTCAGTCATCTGGAGTCATGAAATGAGAATAAATCCCGTATCTTACAGATCAACTGAGACTCAGAGAAGATACTGAATTGGCTCAAGGCCACCCTTTACTGTGCTTAGACTGATGCAAGGCTCACCTAACAAAGGTGCCCCAGACTTCTCTTCAGAACTCCTATGACTTAGCCCAACCCTCTTCCAGAAGACCACTGAAGGCCTGTGCTAGATCTCAAAGGAGGGACAAACTCTAAGTGGATCTGAACCCAGAGGCAGCTGTGCACACAGGAGCTGAGCAGGGCTGGTCACCTTTCCTGCCACCAGGGGGTCCATGCGTTCTCTGAGATGCATCTGCAACTACTATGATCTATGTCGCCAAGTCTATTTTGAGTTCCATGGCCTGAATCATTAGCTTTCAAGGATAACACATCTCCAAAGCTGGAATTAGCCTCTTGGTACTTATCAAACCGTGCCCATGACCTCTTCTGTTAGCCTACGGTTTTGTTGTGACTTGTGCAAATGTCACATAATACCACTGCACCCGGGAGTTATCCTCTTCATAACAGCAACAGATCATAATAAGAGTCCCTCGGAGACTGTTTATGTTTCAAAGACACGAGGAATGAATGAAAAATGTTGCATGCTTTATAAAATGAGAGCAAATACACACTTCTGTTTTACTTGCAGTCAATTGGTTTTAACAACCTTTTATTCTGAGAGGCTTGTGATAGACAAATGCTCTTAATTAAGATTCTGGGAGAATAAAGTGGTACCAGTTTACTAAAAATGGTTTTGTGTCTCTGTGTGTCAGTTCCTTTATCGTTACACCAGGCAAAATACTCAAAGAAATAAGAATGAGTGTACTTTTCTTGGTGTTAGCATAAACACTGGAGGAAATACAAAGAATTTATTAAAATGGTTGTTGTGGAATATTATTTTGACTGGGCAAAGATGCGTTACATTTGTTTATGCTGCAGGACATTAACTGTGTAAAGGTGTGTTACATTTGTTTATGCTACATTTGTTGAATTATGTGAAGATGTGTTGCATTTGTTTCACCTGGCCTGCCTAAGGCACCTGATTGGTCTAATAAAAAGCTGAATGAACAATAGTTAGGTAGGAGAGGGATAGGTGGGACTGGCAGGCAGACAGAATAAATAAGAGGAGAAACCTAGGCTCGAAATGAATGAGAGACAAGAGGAGAGAATGAGGGAGAAAGAGAGAAATGTCCAGGGCCAGCCCGGCAGGCAGCTGCCAGACAGACAGACACAGAAGCAGCAGGAAAAGCAGGACATACAGAAAGAAAAGGTAAAAAGCCCCAAGGCAAGAGGTAGAAAAAGAGAAACAGGTCAATTTAAATTAAAAGAGCTAGCCAGAAATGAGTCTAAGCTAGGCTGAGCATTCAAAACTAGTAATAAGTCTCTGTGTCATGATTTGGGAGCTGGTTGGTGGCCTAAAAGAAAAATCCTGATACAATGGTTGTCAGAAGTGGTGGTGACAAAGGACTGGAGTAAAATGGGAGGCAAACTGTCTTTTGTATGATGTTGCTTTTACTCTTGCTTTTGAAACAGGTAATGTGAAATGTGTTTCAAATGGATGGATAGGCAGAAAGACATATAAGTCAAACCTAGCTTAGTTTGCCCTGCAGTGTATCAGGATGCTAACAAAGAAGAGAATACAGGTGAATGTATCTCAGCTTTGTAACAGAAGCGATGACTTCTAAAACAAGCTTCATGGACTGCAGTCAAGGCATTTGAGACATAACCACTGAGGCTAAGTACACGCTCCAGCTGCTACTGTGAACTTTACCTGGGATTTATTATATGTTTAAGGACAAGTAGAGTCTGAGAGGAACTAATACTTTTACAAGGCCACTGGAAAATAAAAGTACCCTTTCCTAAGGTAGGCCACTGTAAGGCATTGCACATTGGCTGTCTTCAGAAGGCTGGATGCCATCTGTTGTGCTGGGGATGCATTTTGACATGTGGGTGATTCCCAGATTTCCTTCTGGACTTGAGCAGTACTGAACGGGTCTCCAGACAGGCTCCTTTTGGGATGGAGAGGGCTGCTCTGCTTATCCTCAGACAGGAAGACTAGTATCTGCAAGGTTCACTAGTGATGTCGGGTCAGGGCAGCTCTCCTCTACCTTGGGTTTCATTCTGGAAAGGTGTGAGAAAGTCTAGGCTCACACTGAGCCCTAGTCAAGGTCTCTGCATCAGCCAAGAGCAGAGCTTCAGATACTGGTCCTGAAATGCTGTGGAAGGTGAGAATCAGCAGACAATAGCGCCAGCCTCGTGTTTGCAGGCATAGGGAAGTGACCTGGGCTGAGACCTCATCCATTGCCTTTTGCTCTCTGTCCATTACCCACTGGGAACCATTCATCTTATGTCATGGGTTTGGGGTTAGACTGTAAACCTCTAGGTATTGATTGGATAGAAACTTGGCCCTTTGCAATGCTGGTTTCTGCCCCTATTAATTCTAGTAAGCACACATTGAAAAACCTTTAGGAAAACAAAACCTGAATGTGCATTGAACAAGTACAGATATCTCTCTTTTATCATTCTTTAAACAACGCTGCATAAGAACTACAGCTATGGCATTTACATATCAGTAGGTCTGTAAGTCATCTGGAGATGGTCTGCAGAACACTGAAAGATGTGTACAGGTTCTATGCAAGTGCAACACCATTTCTACAAGGAGCTTGGGCACTTTCAGATGTCCCTGTTGTCAAGGGTTCTGGAAACAGGTGCCCTGAGGATCCCGAGAAACACTCATGCCGGTTCTCATTCTTTTCACTCAGTCTGCTGGGAAGCTCCAGCCATGTTGCTTCATGACCACTCTCCTGGTTCTTCCAACTGCTACCCAGTACTCCTCTGTGGACATGTGTGAGGGGAGCTTTTAAAACACAATGCTAGCAGGACCCACAAGCAGCCAATGTGGAGTCCCGATCTGGGATGTCAGTACAAAACACTGCCACCTCCACTGCAACATCCTCAAAGGTACAGAGGGGTGAAATCTCTTTAGGGGCGCCAGACAATAGGAAACGGAGAGAGGATCCCCTTTCAGGGAGAGCTGTGACTCTACAGGGGCACAGGACGTACCCACTTGGGCATTTTGCCGCCATCAGGGTCATGATGGTGATATCTCAGCACGATCACTGTCACCACCACAGACAGGCCCACGATGATCATGGTGCTGGCGAAGTACTGTGCTGTAGAGAGAACAGAGGCAGTGTGAAACCTGGGGCCCCAGCAGCACCTACTGGGGTGATGCGCTCCTATCAGGGCCTCCTGTGTGGTCATACTGAAAAAACAGGCTGTAGCCTAATATCCACACTTCTGGTGGAAAAGGGACAGCCGAGACCTCCAAGACTTCACTCCCTACCACAAAACAGAAGTGACTCTCCCACTGAAGCCAAACAGTCTCTGACGGCATATAGTTCCCATCCCCATGACACACCGGACTAGGAACGGAGCCCCAGCTGCAGCAGTGAGAATGGAAACTAACCTGGTCACAGCATCCTTCACACGACCTCATTTGTTTCCATCTTGGAAACTATGAAAATATGGGGTCTTCCTACTTCTGTCACTTATCCCTGCTCAGAAACACCTAACCTAGGCAAGTCGGCTGTTCCACTTCCATTTCTCTAGACACTTATTTAATAAATAGACACTGAAGGAGCTAAGAATTAAAATATGTGCTTTAGTTTAAAAAAAATAAATAATCCAGGTAAAATAATGAATGTCGGATTGTAAAGTCTTGGGCTCTAGAGCAGAACGTATGAGTGGCAGGAATACAGGAGGAAGGGACATTCCAGCACACACATGCCGCCCACTCCCACCCAGATGGGTCATGCTATGTTCCTCTGGCTAGTCTTGAACTCCTGAATTCTGTAATCCACTTGCCTCAGCATCACAAATACTGAGACTACAGGTATGTATCACCATACATGGCCTTTCTTCAGTTTAAAGGCAAGCCACAAATTTGGCCTTTTTTTCCCTCCTACTTGGACCTAGGTATTGGCCATGGTGTTTTCCAATAGTTACAGCAAGTCATGTCTCCACAGCAGAGCATAGAGGGGCAGAATAAATCTCTAGGACCTCCTCCATGCACCTGCTGGGAAGTCCTAGGCACACTTGAGTCCTTGCCTTACCTATCAAGGGCACAGAATCAGATGTTGCAGGCATGATCTCAGCCACAAGCAGCATGAAGACCGTCAGGGAAAGCAAGACAGTTATTCCTGAAACAAAAACGTGAGGAATTCCTTAAGCAGAACAGACAAGGCTGAAGCCACACCCCACAGGAGCTCAAGACAGTAGTGTCAAACAGTAGGCTGCTGGGGCTACACCCTGAGTCCCGTGCTTTCTGTACATACAGCCACATGCATTTTCCTGGGTACAGTTCCCGTCACCTGCCAGAGTCCAAAGGACCCTCTAACGGAGACAAGTTTAGGAACCACAATTTGAGAGCGTCAACCAGCATGGTTACTTCTCAGGGTCTTCACTGCATTAGTACTAAGAAGCAGCTTTACACGGCAGGATCAGGAAACCATGTGGCCAGAAGACTTGGTTTCATTCAGGTCTTGACTTTGCAGCTTAATTGGCTGGGTGACCTTGGGTAAGCTATTTAATATTCTAAGCCTCGTGCTAAGAAGATAGAAGGCTTGTGAAAGCTTTCTTCAACGCCCTAGATATGTGTTTATTCAGTAATTTTGTGATATAAGCAGCTCATTTTACCCCCACTTTTTATATCTTCACAGGGGAAGCAATTACGAGGAATTGCATCCCTATTGTAACGTGTATGATAATTTACAAATGCAAGCTGATATTAAGCTAATGTGTCTCCCATCTATAATGGAGGCTGGCCACTGAGGAGCAAAGTGGGTGGCAGTGAGCAAGAAAAGAAACACAGCCCATCAGGGTAGAAATAATCCGGTCCCAAACTGTATTCTGTCTTCTTCACAAGATCATGGAATCCCTGGACCCTGCCAATGCTGGAGAAGACTCTGTCTCCCGAAGAGGCAGAACCAGGAGTTTCTGATGTGGTGAGTCTGATCCTGGCACAGGGGTCCATGTATGGTAGGTCACAAGGGGCCCCTGCATGGTCGACAGTGTCCTGCAGAGCTTGCCTCAGAGAAGGACTTGGACACTTACCAAGGGAGATTTTCTCCCCAGAGTCTGCAGGGAGCAAGAATACCAGCAGAGCCAGGGCCGAGATGAGCACACAGGGGATGAGCAGGTTGAGACCATAGTAGAGCGTCCTGCGGCGCATGGTTACTGTGTAGGTGACATCTGGGTATGGCTCTTTGCAGCACTCATAGAACTTCTCATTCCTCTTGCCAGGGATTCCTGCGTGGGGGCCGGAAAAAGAAGGCAGGTCACCAGAAGACACAACTGTCTTTTGTTGCTAAGTGTGTACGACACAGGAGCACAGCCCTAAAAGTGGGTGACGGGTGTTTGAACAAACTTTTACAGGTATGCTAGAGCTGTTTAAAGGTATCTCAGTGATATTCAAGCAAACTGAGAGACATTCTTTTGATGCATGAGAAGTACTTATACATGGTTAATTTTACAGCATTACAAACGTAATTACAAACAAGTGCCACATAATGGTGTTTCTGTCAAAGATGGAAGAAATGTACAACGGTGAGTCAATAACATTGTATCACTTACGGATTCTGCAGCTGGCTTACTTTGTATAGTGTAAGTGCATTCTATGATGTTCACATAATAAAAATGCATAATGACACTTTTCCAAATGTATAGTGAGTGACTCATAATAATGTTGGTTTGGATTTAAAATGATACAGTATAGGTAAAAAAAAAAAAAAAGTCAAAATGGCTACAGAGAGAAAAAAAATCAAACTATTTTTCTAAGAATTAGAGGTTTGCCGACAGGGCATAAAATTGCTATGCAGGTATCATGTCAGGAAGTGTGTGTGCTAGAAGGAACAGTTTCTCAGAATCTCACATTACCTTCAGAAGATTAAAAATGCTAGAGTGACCAGTTTGCCCCCTGACAGGCCAATAGACTTAGAAATTTACAACCACGCTGGTTTACACCTTTTTCAAACTACATGAATCACATTGTGTATCCTTGCACCCATTCAAAACTGTCATAGGCACTTTTTGATTTAAAATCCAAAGCCCACCCCCTCTCAGCAGAGTACTGACTCGACGTCTAGATGAACTGTGTCTCTCAAAGTGAAGTATTGTTCTATGCCCAAATGCTGCTGTTGTTCTTCTGGCTGAACCCCACTTGTGATTTTCTTCATTTACACCATCATCTGCAATGTGCAGTTCAACCAGGCTGTAGGGTTCGAATGGATTCCACAAATTCCACACTAGCACTGCTGGTTTAACGGGCCCTGCCACAGCTGTTTGCGGCACCCACTAATTGATTTCTGCTTCTCATTCTGAGCTCTCAGGACGTGATGGAAAAGGCTGTCAAGTGTAGTCAATGAAAGGAAAGAGTAGAAAAATCCCCACATCTTTCAGCTCACACAGGTAGACGGCACCTCTTTTCTGGGATACAAGGTCTGTGTCTTTCGCTGGCCTTACCCATGAGATCCCATTCTCCATTGGGGATATAGCTGCTGATATCTGCCTCCTGCATCTGCAGGTCCAGGGACCACCCTCCATAGGACCAGGACCCAAACTTCAGCTTGCACTGCTGCACATCAAAAGGGAACCAGCGCACATCAATGTAGCAGGAGCTCTTGAATATGCCTAGGTGAGCATGGGAAATGATCAGAAGATTGAAGTGGAGCTACCGAACCAGGCTCAGAACACACAGCGGTTCCCAAAGTCTGCCCCCCTCCACACACACACACCCTGAAATCTTGCTAGACCTATTTGGAACAAACCAAGGTGCTCTCCTCCCCATTTTTCCTTTTGCAAAAACTCCTAGAGAAGCACAGCCAAAGCATCATTGCCTTTTCAAGTTAAAACATAACTATAGCCTTTGTTATGGAAGGCTTTTCTCAGGAAACTTTGTGCAAATAATTAATTATATGCTTTATTTGCCCGGAATACATTCAGACTCTAAGCAATATGAGAAAAAGAAAGGATGTAGGAAATCTCAGAGAAGCTGATAAAAATGATGAATGAGTTAGAGAATTGGAAATGGGCAGGGAGAGGCTGGTTTTGTTTGTTTGTTTGTTTGTTTGTTTGTTTGTAACAAATTGAGAAAACATCTAGTTATCCAAAAATATATGTAGAGTGTAATTCTAACATGTTCAGTTTTCACAGGAAGGATAGAATAACATGCAAAATTAAAAAGACAGAGTTTGGATGCAAAGGAACATTCCACTGAACGATGATGGAATTCCCAGAAATGGACTTCCCAGAAGGCCATGGTGAGGACACGCATACATCCACTCCAGACTTCTGTGGCCTGTGCTCTTGCCTGGCCACAGGAGCCCAGAGTGTCCTGGAAGGCACACATGGCTGAAGTGCTCCAGTGCTAGCTGAGCAAGGGCAACGCATCTCACATTTCTTCTGCTGAATTAAAGACTGAACGGGGGAAGGAATTGAAGCGCTTTACACAGGTACACTCCACTGCACATCCATGCTGAGAAAACATAATAAACTGTCCCTTAGAAGTCCTTTAAATGTGACTTACAATCCCAGATGCTTGGGGAGATGAGGATGACAAGTTCAAGGCTATCCCAGGCAACTTAGTGATATCCTATCTCAAAATAAAAAGGTAGAAAGGCAGCCAGAGATACAGCTCAGCAGTAGAGTGCCTACTTAGTATGTATGAGGCTTGAAATTCAATAGCAATACTGTACTACTGTGTATGTGTGTATGTATATATAGTCACACACACACAGACAGACAGACAGACACACACACACACACACACACACACACACACACACACACACACACGACTTACAGAATTACTTCAGCTGCCCACAGGAGCCTGAAAGTCACCACTGGCATCCCCTTACCATTAGTGGACTAAATTTCCCCTAATCTAACTACAGTGTATTTGATTCCATTTCTATGAGAAGACCCAAGAAGGAGACAGAAAGGATTCAAAGGTTGTCTGAGGCTTGCAGCAAGATCAGTTAACTGTCAAAAGGAAATGGATGATGGGGACATTCTAAAACTCAATTGTAGTGATCTTCTGAGAATTTACTAAAACTCAAGGAGTCAGACACTGCAAATGCATAATATGCAAATTCTAACTCCATCTGCCTGTTAAAAATAAATACATGAAGCAGGTGGAGAGATGGTTCGGTGGCTAAGAACACAGGCTGCTTTCCCAAAGGACCCAGGTTTGATTCCCAGCACTCACATGGTGGCTCACAACTACCCATTACTTCATTGTGTGCTGGAAGGCATCACCCAACCCCCTCTGCAGGGTGCCTGCAGTGTGGAGGAAGGGCTGGAATCTGCAAGCAGATGATTTAAGACAGAAAGTCTGAGAAGCAACACTTCTTTAATCAATATAAACATCAGTGAGAGGGATATGTCTCTGCTAGATTCAATCACTTATTCATTCATGTATTGACACACAGCCACCTGCAGTTGAGGAGTGATGGATTGCAAAGTGAGCAAACCGAGATTCTGTCTACAGAATTGTTATCATCTGCTAACAGGAAGAGTGTTGTAAACAATAGGCAAAGCCAGCATCGCCATGTGCTGTGAGATAAGGGCAGGCTGAACGCTAGAGAAGGGTGGTGTGTGTGCACGTGTGTGTGTGTGTGTGTGTGTGTGTGTGTGCGCGTGCGTGTGCGTGTGCGTGTGTGTTATGAGACGTTGGATATTCAAAGGCTGCAGATGTTGGGAGTGTGTTAGTGTGTTCTGAGTGTAGTGGCAACAGTGTGGCAGTGTCATCAGTGAAGAAGATATAATTCTTGAAAATATGTTAAATATCTTCTGAATGATAAAGTGAAAAGAATTAATACCCATATCCTAAAACACACCTTGAATGAGTCTCAAAGGGCATGAAGCAGCAGTTTCCCAGGCTGTGTGGATTGCTCAATGAGCTGCCTGGGATCCTGTGAGTCCCACAGTAATGACAGTCAGGGAAACAGATCAACCCCATGAAGCCATTTACCACCAGGAGAAGAAGAAAAATTGGGGAACAAGCCACCAGAAAGTGCTCCCTTGAAGCTGGGTCTTGCATCTACCTTGTGAGCAGTCTTGAGATCCTGAACACAGAATGTCCACTACCTTCCCAGGACCGCAGTACCTGTCAACTTACTGTGCCAGCTGGGAAGAGGTGAAGGAGAAAAGGCCTGCCTATAGTGTTCTGGGGCAGAAAGAAGAGCTGAAAATTACTCCACAAAGGAGACTAGACTGTGAGTTAATATTAATAAGAACATAAGACAGACCCTGGCAAAGACCCTCTGAATGTGATCTCAGTATCAGAGATGACACCAGAGTAAGTTGAAGAGATGTGTGACAGTTTTGAAGGGAAGGGCTGGGTGGGAAGAGACAACATGAATCCAGTCCTCCCTGAGGAGGACAGTCCTTGAGACACTAATTCTCCACTAAGGAGGGCAGTCTTTGGGACACCAGTCCTCTC